TGCTCCATTTTAGTGAAATTCTCATTTCTATTCGTGGACGTAGGCATTGGGCCGAACCACGTAAATATTGGTGTCTCAGTTGTGTGTGATGCTTGTTGTTTATTTTTCTTGGTGTTCATGATCCTAACAAAGTGGTATCAGAGTTGTGTTGTGTGTTTTTTGGCAAAACAAAGTGTGTTTTTCAAAAATTGCCCAGAATTCAAAGTGGTCGAAATCCACTTTTCAGCACACCAGGTTGAAGTCCTTGACGAGACGAGCATAACGGTGAAAATCACGTCGAAAAATGAGATCGGACGCAGCCGCACGCGCTACGCACGTTACCTGACGCTGTGCTCACGCACTCCCACGCGTCTCACACATTTGCAAAGGAAGAAGACTTGTGATCTTACCATAAGCATGGGTTACACGCGTACACACCAGATAATAACATCATCCGAGCAGCCGAGCCGAGCCGGAACCGTTGATTGAGCTACTGACCAAGCCACCGTTGACCGAGCTGATGACCTAGCTGCACCTCTAGCTACCAAGCCGCTGACGCCAGCAGAACTGGAGAAATTATCCGGTGCTTCTCAACTGCACCAGATTTCACTAATCTGAACCGTTTAACCTGTTTTGGCTTGATCTGAGCTATTCTGAGTCCCTTTTTGATGATCCAATAGTGTTTTCCAACAATTTGGAATATTTCAGACACATCCATGCGGTCAGATTTTGTAAATTAGATTTCAAAAATGTGCAGTTTCTATTTTGGCAATCTGAAGTGCTTTTTTTGGCTAATTTGACCAGTCCGGACTCAACAACAAAGCCTGATTTTTAGACAAAGATCATTTTCTATAGAGACAAGTGTTGATGAAGAAATCAATGTCGATTTCGGGATCCATGATAAAGTTAAATGCTTTCAACTATGCAATTTGGAAGCCTAGAATGGAGGATGTCCTGTACTGTCGAGATTTGTTTCACCTCATTGATCTTAATGGAGTCAAACCAGCAATGAAAAACGATGAAAACTAGAAGCGAAAGAATTGGAAAACCATTGCCCAGATCAGACAATGGATCGATCACAGTGTCTTCCACGATGTCGCCTAGGAGACTGATGCATATGCTCTCTGGACGAAGTTAGAAGGCATGTACTAGTCGAAGACTGCTCGGAACAAAGCCCTTCTAATGAGACGACTCGTAAATTTGAAGTTAAAAGGCGGTATCTCTGTTGCTGAACACACCAGTGAGTTTCAAAATCTGGTGAACCAACCGGCAACTGTCAACTGTCAAAATGGAGTTAGATGATGCGATGCAAGCCCTATTGCTACCTAGTTCTTTGCTAGATAGTTGGGAGACGTTGGTGGTGTCCTTTACCAACTTTATACCAGAAGAAAAACTGACCATGAGCATGGTTACAAATGCTTTATTTAGTGAAGAGGCAAGAAAGAAAGACACGGGTGGAGATCAATCCCATGTCCTCATCACAGAAAGTAAAGGTAGAGACAAAGGCAGGGGAATAAGCAAAAGTAGAGGACGTAGCAGGGGAAGATCTTAAGGCAGGGAGAAGTCCAGAGAAGGTACGAGCTAGCCAAAGTTCAAGTGTTATCACTCTGACCAGGAGGGTCACATAAAGAAATATTGCTATTACTTGAAGGGAGAACAAAAACATGGCAATAGACAACCAAAGACTGAAGATAGAAACACTACAGTTACTGTCACAGAGGATATTGCATTATTCTCTATTAGAGAAGAAGAATGCCTCCATATGTCAGACACTGACACCGAGTAGGTGGTAAATATAGTAGATTCCTACCACGCTACATCTCGGAAAGAGTTTTTCAATACATACCAAGCTGGAGATTTTGGTACAGTGAAGATGGGTAACTCCAGTTTTTCAAAGATTGTGGGAATTGGTGATGTTCACATCCAAACCAAAGTTGGGTGCACGATGGTGTTGAAAGATGTTAGGCATGTTCCCTATTTACGCCTGAATCTTATCTCTGAGATAGCCTTAGATCGACAAGGCTATAAGAACTACTTCAGGAAAGGCATATGGAAGCTAAAAAAGGGACCTCTGGTGGTAGCTAGAGGACATGCAAGTGGCACGCTATACAAGACTCATGTGAAGGTAAATTTAGATAGCCTCAACGTGGCAAAGGATGATGCATCACCAAATTTGTGGCACAAAAGGCTGGGTCACATGAGTGAGAAAGGGTTGCAGATTCTAGCAAAGAAGTCTCTTATTTGCTTTGCCAAAGATGCGAAATTAAATCCTTGTGACAACTGCTTATTTGGGAAGCATCATAGAGTCACTTTCCACTCATCATCCAGAAGACAATCAGAGTTGTTAAACAGAGTATACTCTGATGTGTGCAGTCCCATAGAAGTGGAATCTTTGGGTGGCGGAAAATACCTCCTAATGTTTATTGATGATGCATCACAGAAGGTATGGGTTTATGTCCTAAAGACTAAAGCTGAGATGTTCCAGCATTTTCAGACATTCCATGCTATGGTAGAAATGGAGACTTGAAAAAAGTTGAAGTGTCTCCGAACAGACAATGGAGGCAAATACACGTCAAAAGAGTTTGACGCCTACTATGCTACTTGCAACAATCGACATGAGAAGACTATTCCTAGAACCCCACAATACAATGGTGTAGCTGAGAGGATGAACCGAACCATTGTGGAGAAGGTCATATGTATGCTCAAAGTGGCAAAGTTGCCAAAGCCATTTTTGGGAGAAGCTATTCGTGTTTCCTGCTATCTGATTAACAGATCACCATCCGTTCCACTAAATTTTCAGATTCTAGGAGAAGTATGGTCTAGAAGGGAGATCTCTTACTCTCACTTGAGAATGTTTGGGTACAAAGCATTTGCACATATATCCAAGGAGCACAGATATAAGCTGGATGATAAAGCCGCTCTATACATCTTTATTGGCTATGGAGATGAAGAATTTAGATACAGATTATGGGATCCGAAAAACAAGAAGGTCATTCGATGCCGAGATGTAGTGTTTTAAGAAGGCTTGACCTTAGAAGACTTTGGGTAACCAGCCAAACCCAAAGTTGATGATGTTTTAGAAATTGTTCCCAATCCTGCACCATCACAGAATGCTATTGATGAAGAAGAGCTACCGCAAAATGCGACCAATGATGTAGAGTTACATGATGGATTTCCAGAAGAAGAAGATCCAGAAGAAGAAGGTGTTGAGTAGAAGAAGCCATAACCCCTTCCGCCAGAGACTGTTGGTCTACAGTTATGAAGATTAACAAGAGAGCCTAAGCCATCATCAAAATACCCTGCTTTTGAGTATATTTTTCTTAATGATGAGGGGGAGCCAGAAAGTTTTCAAGAAGCTTAGAATCATAAGGAGAAGAGTAGTTGGCAGCAAGCTATGCAAAAAGAGATGCAGTCTTTGCAAAAAAATCAGGCTTATGATTTTGTAAAACTTTCCCAGGGTCGAAAAGCACTGAAGAACAAATGGATGTTCAAGTTGAAGAAACATGGCAGCAGAAAGCTAGTCAAGTATAAGGATCGAGTGGTTGTCAAAGGTTTTGGGCAGAAGAAAGGTATTGATTTTGATGAAATCTTTTCGCCAGTTGTGAAATTGACGTCCATTTGAGTAGTTTTAGGATTAGTGGCCGATTTGAATTTGGAACTTGAACAGATAGATGTAAAGATGACATTTCTCCATGGTGATCTAAAGGAAGAAATTTATATGGAGTAGCCAGAAGGTTTTGAAGTAAATGGGAAAGAAAATTTAGTCTGCAGATTGGAGAAGAGTCTCTACAGCCTCAAACAAGCGCCGAGACAGTGGTACAAGAAGTTTGACTCATTCATGGTGGGTCATGAATACAAGAGAACTGCTGCAAACCAGTGTGTATATGTTAGGAAATTTCCCAGTAGAAACTTCATCATACTCCTGCTTTATCACTACAACAAAACTAACTATTTACGGCATCATGTTTACGACATGCATTAAATGCATGTCGTAGTTAGTACATTCTACGGCATTTTTTTTTTGCAAGCCGTTAATGTTATGTCAATAACAACGTACATACCATGTAAGTCGTTGATTTATATATTTATAGCGTGCAAAAGTATGCCGTAAAAAATGTATGTTTTTACGACTTACAAAAATATGTCTTAAAATATTTGCACTTGAGGCAACATACATTTCATTTTGTAAAATATTATAACTTTACATGGTATACATTAACATGTCGTGAAAACTTCTGCAAAAAAAAAAAAAAAAAAAAAATAGAATTTTTTTTATGGCATGCAAAAGCATGCCGTAAAAAATGTATATTTTCACGGCATACAAAAATATGTCATAAAATATTTGTACTTAAGATGACATACATTTCATGTCGCAAAATATTATAACTTTACACGGCATGCATTAGCATGTCGTGACAACTTTTATTAAAAAAAATTCAATCAGATTTTTTTTTTTGATTTAAAAAAGCTAACAATTTCCAACCAAGCTTCTCACCTTAAATTTTTCTAATTGAGGACAACATAAAAAATAATTTATACATTATTTTATAATTTAGTGTCTCTTTTAAGGGATAATTGCACCCAGTGGGATTTGGGAAAAAAAAATTACATATTCATGAAAAAGTTTATAACTTTAATGATTAATATTTATATGGCTTCTCACTAATTTGTAATTATTATTTTTTTAAATTACATTGATTTGATATTTTTCTTTCTTTTAATAATTTATTTATTTTTTACTTTTTAGATGTATCTAATCTAAATATAACTTAAAAATAAAATATTTGTAAAAAAAATAATAAAATATAATATATATGAAATGTATTAAAATTTTATATTTTTTTGAATTTAGTGATTTTTTTAAAAAAAAATTAAAAAATAAAACATTTCTAAAATTAAAATAAAATATTTCTTTTAATATATGTAAATTATTTGAATTTAAAAAGTAAAAAAGAAATTATTTAAAATATTACAAATATTACAATAACGAAAACAAAAAACTGAAAAACGTTTTAGGCCTCTCTCACTCACTCACTCTCTGGTGTCGATCTCTCTCTCTCTCTCAACCCTCTCTAAACCCTAATCTCTCTGAACCGATCGAATCAGCCTTCTTCAGCCCCGTTTGATCTAATCTCAGAGCGATTAGTGATTCATCTCAGATCCAATCTCAGAGCGATTGGTTATTCATCTCAGATTCAATCTCAGAGCGATTGGCAATTTCGAAGCTCCACCGCCTCCACATCTGCACCGGCGAGGGAATCGAGGACCATCGTCTACTAAGATGAGCACCACCCTTCCCCTTTCCTCAATGTCGTTGCTCTCGGCAATACTGTGAGTTGATTGATTTCAAAATCAATGATATATTGTATCGATGTTGAAATTTGATGCTTTTGTTTATTGATTGGATCTCTGGATCTAGCTGCAATTTTGGTCTTGATTTTGATTTGAATAGGCGCATCTGTGTTAGATGTAGAGAGAATTGTGTATCGATTTTTGGTGAACAAGTAGTTAGGAGAGAATCGAGTCAAATAAGGCATTTTTTTGTTGTGTTGATTGTGTGTTTGCTTATTGGATAGCTTATGATCTTTGGTTATTATTGCTCTCTCAGCATTTGGGAGTCAGTGGTGCAGCCATTGCACACATTCTTTCAGTAGGTTATAGTCAAAGACTTTCCACCAGATAGTGCATATTTAAATGTAGTTTTCCAATTTTAATGTCTTGATCTTCCAAAGGATCTCTCTGACTATTTATACTTGTAATTTTTTTTGCAGATATTTAAATTCATTGATCCTCTTGTGTAAATTGATGACAAAAGTTGATCTCTTACCTCCAAGTGTCAAAGATTTGCAGTTCAATCGGTTTTTTAAAAACGGTAAGGAGTTTAATGCATCCACTGTCAGAAGTTCTTTGTTGTTAATTACAGCCTAGATGGAATAAATACACCGTCATATTAAGGAACAAGTCTCAAAAGGTTCATTGATGAAATATTCAGAACTCCATAGCCTTCTATGTTGTCTATGGCATTCAGTTTATAAATTCAATTTTCTTACTTTTCCAATTGTCTCCAAAAATGGCACCTTTTGCATGTGATCGCTAATGAAAAAGATTAAGCAGTGATATACTTCTTATGAGCAAAAATATCATCTCAACTATTGAATACTATAAGTGAGAAAATGTCATAAAATTTACGAATGGCTTCTTATCCAAATTTATTTTTCTGAAATGAACATGTCACTTTATAATAAGGATCCAACCTCCTTATTGACTCTGCTTCTTATTCTTTACTTGATGAATAATAATTCCTATAAGCTTCAAGTTTAGTTGTCTTTTAACTGTCTTCATTTTTTTTTATTTTTTTATTGTTTTGTGCTTATACACAGGTTTTCTATTATTGGCAAGGGTAATAGCTGTGACATTCTGTGTAACCTTAGCAACATCATTGGCTGCAAGACTCGGTGCAACACCTATGGCTGCATTTCAGATTTGCTTACAGGTCTGGATAACCTCGTCGCTTCTTTTTGATGGTTTGGCTATTGCTGGACAGGTATGGCCACGTGCTGTTCTTTTTAATTTTTCCCCTTTCGAATATTTGGGAGAAATTCTTCTATTTAATCAGGAAAGACAATGTGAGAAACTCTTTTTTTTGTGTGTGTCTCTCTCTCCAATTTCTGAGAACCAAAGAGAGCCTAACCAAATAACAACGAAACTTCGTATTTTTGTTTTTTTCCAATTGTAACATAAATTGATCAATCAATTATTTTTTTTCTCTATCTCATTCTTCCAGGTTATCATTGCTTGTGCGTTTGCTGAGAAGGATTATGAGAAAGCAAAAGTTGTTGCAACCCGAGTGTTGCAGGTAAACCATTTTCCAATTCTTAGTGTACAAATTGTTCTCTCAACAAACGCAATTGTTTTGATACCCTCTTCAATTTTCATTATACCAAGCCTGAATATGTTTGAGAGGTTTTATTTTGCAGATGGGATTTGGGTCTGAGGCTCGCTGTAGTTGTTGGACTCCGTTTGCAATTTGGATCTGGAATATTTACAAAGGACAAAAATGTTGTTCACCTCATTAGTATAGGCATTCCGGTAATTCCATCTATTGGCAAAATGGCTTCTTTTTTTTTTTTGGCTAAAAAAAAATTAAGCAAAAAAATATTTGTTTTCATATGTCAGTATTTTTACTTATTTCGGGAGTCTAAACTGAAATTTATGATATACTCCCATTAGTTTGTAGCAGCTACACAACCAATCAATTCATTGGCCTTTGTTTTTGATGGTGTAAACTTTGGAGCATCAGATTTTATTTATTTTGCATACTCCATGGTAAGTATACTAGTGTTTCCTCTAGACGAAGAACAAAAACATTTTTTTATTTTTATATTGTCTATATAAACTCCTTTTTAACTAATAATTTTATTGTATCATCAGGGTCTGGTATCTGTAGTGAGCATTACGTCTTTATTCCTTCTCTGGAAAAGCCATGGTTTTGTTGGAATATGGTTTGGTTTAACCATTTTTATGGGTCTACGTGCATTTTCTGGGATTTTGAGGTAATTTCCTTTGTTAATTCTGTGAATAAATAGTCCTTTTCAAGCAATTTCCCAGTTCAAAGCTGATCAAATTTGTTAAAATCCACCTACTCTCCACCTACTTCACCCACTTAAACCTACTCCACTAAACCTAACCCACTACACCACTACCACCTCACCTACTCCACTAAACCTAACCCACTACACCACTACCACCTCCACTTCACCTACTCCTTACCTACTACACACTCACCCTCTTCTATATATAGGAATCATGAATCATTGTAATTGATATCAATATAAATCAATCAATAATACAATTCTCTATTTCTCTATACATCAATTTCAACATGGTATTAGAGCAGGTTTAAAACCTAATATTTTCGCTTCACCGGCGGGCGGCAATCTCACCTTAGCCGTCCGCCGGACCTCAACCTAGTCTGCTAAAATTTTCTACACGTACCTTGAAATTTCCTTTCTTCAACCTGCTGAGTGTACAAACCACAGACAGCACACCGTATTTTGCTTTTTTCGGACTTGGTTGGGTTCAGCGTTTGGTACCTGGTTGAGGAGGGAGGTTGCGCCGCCGTCAATTGAGGGGGACGATGGCGTCCTATCAGTGTCGCTGTGTGTGTCTAATAGTAATACCAGCTGCAGCTACAAATACGCCTCCGATATTTCCATTGTCGTCGATTCTCGATCTGAGAGGAAGTACAGGAAGAAGAAGGAGATTTTCGGGCATTTCTTCCACAAGCCCTAGCTTTAGCTTCAGGGGAAGACAAAGACAATGCCTCCTCTTCAACAGAAATTCTGAGTCCACTTGTACTACTAGTGGTCCCTTTCATCGATGCAACTCTCAACTGGGCGGAGACCTTGCCCCTGCTACCTCTGCAGCCTACGGAGTGCTTCTCCTTGTTGGTGGTCTTTTTGCCTATACAAGAACAGGAAGCAAAGGATCGCTTCTAGGAGGCCTTATACAAAGTATGTCATAAATATATTAAAAATGACCTTTTACGGCATACAAAATTATGTCGTAAAAAGTGATGATTTATGACATGCAAGAAAATGTCGTAAAATATTATATACGGCATACAAAGTATGCCATAAATATATTCAAAATAACCTTCTACGGCATGCAAAATTATGCCATGGAAAATATAATGATTTATGGCATAATAAAAATGTGGTAAAAAATTATATACGACATACAAAGTATATCATTAATGTTTAATTTATTACTTTTTACAACTTTACCTGTATGCCATAAATAACATTCAACTTTCCACGGCATGTCATATAACAGCATTTGTGTGCATGCCGTGAAAGAGTTTTTACGGTATGCATTGCGAGCCGTAAAAATTCAATTTTGTTGTAGTGTATGTTGATGACATGCTGATTGTTGGACAGGATACCACAGCAATCAGATCAGTGAAGAAGGAGTTATCACAGTCCTTTGACATGAAAGACCTAGGCCCTGCACAATAAGTTTTGGGCATGAAAATTATGCGTGACAGGAAAGCCAAGAAGTTGTGGCTGTCACAGGAGAAGTACGTTGAACGGGTAATTGAGAAGTTCAACATGAAAGATGCCAAGCTAATCAGTACTTTGCTGGCTAATCATTTCAAGCTAACCAAGAGTTCTTGTCCCTCCTCTACTAAAGAAAGAGAAGAGATGTCCGCCGTAGGGAGTTCGATGTATGCAATGGTGTCCACCTGACCAGATATTGCTCATGCTGTTGGAGTTGTAAGTAGATTTCTTTCCAATCTGGGAAAGAGCATTGGGAAGCAGTTAAATGGATTCTGAGGTACCTTAAGGGGACATTTAAAATGTGTTTCTGCTTTGAAGGAGCAAAACCAATCTTGGATGGTTATACAGATTTAGATATGGCAGGCGATCTTTATGGTAGGAAATCTACATTAGGATTTCTCCAAGAGTCGGGACTAAAGTAAGAACAATTCACGGTACATTGTGATAGTCAGAGTGCCATCGACCTGAGCAAGAATTCTATGTACCATTCTCGCACGAAGCACATTGATGTTCGGTATCATTGGATCCGTGAAGTGATGGAAAAGCAATTATTGGAACTGATCAAGATCCATGTAAATAAGAATCTAGTTGATATGCTTACAAAGGTGGTCTCGAGAGACAAACTCGAAATTTGCTGAGACGTTGTTGGGATGGACTTCAAGTGAGAAGTCAGTCATGCATGTGGGTATGAAGGGGGAGAATTGTTAGCTCCAACCCCATGCATGCAAGCAGAGAGTCAAGGAAAATGGCGTACAAGGACTTCCACCGCAAGTGAAAGTCTGAACTGAGCATCTGCAAGGCCAGCTCTCCCTTCTCTTCACGTTCTTGCCATTGTTGACTCTCACCATTAAGAAGGTAGAAAATTTTAGTGGGTTTGTCTCCTCTCTCTCTCTCTCTCTCATCTTTGTGTATAAATAGAGACGAGAGGGAGAGGATGAATTGTATCAGAAATTTGAGAGACAGATAGCTGTGAGTTGAGTGAGAGTTTTATCTCCCACTACAACAAAATTGAATTTTTACGGCTTGCGATGCATGCTGTAAAAACTCTTTCACCGCATGCACACAAATGCCGTTATATGACATGCCGTGGAAAGTTGAGCATCATTTACGACATGCAGATAAAGTTGTAAAAAGTAATGAATTAAACATTAATAACATACTTTGTATGTCGTATATAACTTTTTACGACATTTTTATCATGCCATAAATTATCGTACTTTCCATGACATAATTTTGCATGCCGTAGAAGATTATTTTTAATATATTTATGGCATACTTTGTATGTCGTATATAGTATTTTACAACATTTTCTTGCATGTCATAAATTATCACACTTTTCACGACATAATTTTGTATGTCGTAGAAGGTTATTTTTAATATATTTATGACATGCCTTGTATGTCGTATATAATCTTCTACGACATTTTCTTACATGCCATAAATCATTACACTTTTCACGGCATAATTTTGCATGCCGTAAAAAGTTATTTTTAATATAATATATATATATATATATAGGAACATGACCTTGCATAACCGTATGTAGACAATAGCTTATAAAATGCAACATGTTACAAACCAAGCAGAAGCAGCAACTATGAAGTAAGCAAAAAAATCTAATATCCATACACCAAACAACCTGCATACTAACTTATATCCTCAACTTCTATCATATCAAGCTGATAACAACCTCAAACATACAAATCAAAAAAAGTATCCAAATCATAAGATTCACTAATCTCTAAAATACGACTTTAAACATCCAAAAAGTATAACTACAAATCGTAAATCAATTAGTCTAATATTTAGTCCAAAAGAATGAATTGACTAGGCCATGCAACTGTACTTCCTATTGCATCTTGAAGATCATACATATCATGAGTAGAACGAAACAACGGCACGTTGACTGTTACGTGGTTCACCTATACTTTCCAACACAAAGGTCCAAGAGTTGCATGAAGCACCTTTGACTTGGGATCCCTTGATGCAACTTGGCCTTTTGCAACTACCAAGTTTGACCCCTCCCAATGCAACAACTTGCATTTGACATTTGCTAAGCTCGACACACCATTACTTTGATCCTACAAAAATTAAGAGTATATAAGCATACTGCATGACATTCATCCCATTTACGAAGTATTAGTTCAACAAAGGAAATGAAAGTGTCAAAAACTTCAACGAGAACTCACTTACATATGTTATCAATGTCAGAAAAGAAAATTTCAACCTGAAGAATACATATTTTGAGGTGGTCACACTTATGAGTCTACTCAACCTGATGAATTTATAAAAACTAAATGGACATTCTAATTCAAGTGGATCTCTAATAAGTCCCTCAAATTTTCACTAAAGAACACAAGAAGCTATTTTGGAGTCCTCATTAAAAGAGTTGTATTAAAATAAATAAATAATAAAAAAACACAAATCTGAAAGTATTAAAAAAGCTATAATTAAAAAAATTGAGAAAATAGGTTCTACCCAAGCAGATGAAACAGGTAGCCCACTCTCCCCTACTCTCTCTTTCTTTCTCAAAGCAAAATGCCATTCACGTTTCAATTGGATGAAAACCGTGCTAGAAAGCTATGCATGCCGGTGCAGGACAAGAAATATATTACTGCCTACCAACACTATCGTATGTGGAAACAGTGAGAAAATGACAAGAAATGAAGAGAAAAACAACTCTTTTCTCATGTTTGATTTATAAATTAGTTGGAAACAGTGAGAAATGAAAAGAAAGAGAACTTTAATTTTATTTTATAGGTTTCATTTCTCACCAAAAGTAATGAGATTTGGCAAGAAACAAGCTCTGATTGCTTGTGTATCTTCTATAATACCGAGATTGTTCATTAAAATGCACTAAAAGAAAAGAAATATCACCTATATCCCTATATCACATTTTGCTCTTTTACTCATCCAAACATGATAGTGAGAAAACACGATAATTTCTTTTCTTTTACAATCATTTCTTTTTCTTCTTCTTCTAACCCCACAATCCAAGCGGAAGGTAAATTTTGCCAAGAAACAAAAAGTGGGCGGAAAATCACTATCATCAGGTGTTTGCTTAGAGCTAAACTGTTACTGCTGGACCACATTATAGGCCTAAAAATATGACAAGGCTCAAAAAAAGGATCTTAGGGCATACAAAGGCTATTCAACCACTACGTAAACATTACCATCCGAGGTATAATTAAGACACATTTGAATGTCTGAAAAAATATGAATTGGATCACTTTCGGATTGGCTCATTAAGAAATTAGATAAGTACATGTGTTGCACTGTAAAGATGACAACTAAAAAATTGATTAATTTACTTTCTTTGTGGGAATTTAAATTAGTTCATTTCTTTAAAACGTAGAATTACTTAAATATAAAATTAAGAGATTCAAAATCTCTTTTGTTCGACACGACAACACTCACACAAATTTTGAAATAACTCATTTACACATTCACAAGTTTTGAATTAGTTAATTTTGAAATAACTCATTTACACAAATTAGTAAATCTGCCAGACCACAAAACTTGGTTATTCTAATGAGTGGAGAATATGCAGCAGTGCCTATTTGGCTTGAAGCTGAATCTCCAGCAAATCAACAATGCAGTTTATAATTTCATTTCTGCAAGATCTAATTTATACTGCATAAACATACATAAAAACACAAGCATACATGCAGCCATAAATATATTACATATGACGTGCCATTTTAAACTTCATATTGCTAAGAAACACCACTAAAATAGACCTACTATTGCATCCAATATTTATTGGAGAAGTTGCACCTGTTGTGAATCTATGTATATTAGAATACGAAAAATACGTTGCAAAACTGAGATTTATTTGTAATATGACCCATGTTACATGTTAGCTACAAATAGCATTTCTCTAGGTATTTCAATTGGACTAAGACATGTGGATTTGAATCCCCATTTGGCTAGGTATTTCAATTGGACTAAGACACCTTTTTATTAAAAATGAAATTTTAAAAAATGTGACCACCAATGAATTGAGATCAGCACTGGAAGAGCAGAGCAGAGCAGACAAAAACCAAAGTGACATGAAAACCCATTACCACAATACATACATCCAAATTCACCGACATATCCTATATTTGTTATTTATAGCATTTTGTGACCCCTAATTGGCATTTGTCATCAGTGGTAACACAAAAGCTACAGAACCAAACACACTATGTTAGGTAAGCCAATAAAATTCTGGAAAAAACAGAGAACACTAAAGAGTAGAGCATCAAATGGGGAATGTGAACTATATTAACATAAAATTTACTAAAGTATTTATGTTTATGTGTATGTCTATGCATCAATTTATCTATATATAATTCCCTTTTTGCAACATTCTACTCCATTTTAACTCTACTCAAAATTCTTTGATCAGCAAAAAATGGAGCTACCACATCTTGGCAACAACCTTGATAAACCATCATAGTTCTTTATCTCTTTGCCACCTCCTCCAATGCATACCGAGTGAATTTTTGAAGAGAACAAGTTGTTTGAGAACACTCTTGCTGAGTTCAACCTTAATTCTATAGACTTATTTGAGAAGATTACTTCCAGGATTCCCGGAAAAAACAATTGATCAAATCAAAGAGCACTACGAAGCACTAGTGGAATTTAATTGAGATTCCATCAACAAATTATTATACAGCAAATTGCTCAAACTCGACGGGAAGGAAGAGCTTGAGGGAGAGAGAAAGAGAATACGAAACTGACAGAGAGAGAGAGAGAGACGGTAGTGCTCACCTTATTAGACGATGGTCCTCGCTTCCTTCGCCGGTGCAGATAGTGGAGGTGGTGGAGCTTCGAAATTGCCAATCGCTCTGAGATTGGATCTAAGATGAATCACCAATCGCTCTGAGATTAGATCAAACGGGGCTAAAGAAGGCTGATTCGATCGGCTGAGAGATTAGGGTTTAGAGAGGGTTGAGAGAAAGAGAGAGAGATCGACACCAGAGAGTGAGTGAGAGAGTAAGGGGCCTAAAATGTTTTTCAGTTTTTTGTTTTAGTTATTGTAATATTTGTAATATTTTAAATAATTTTTTTTACTTTTTAAATTCAAAATAATTTACATATATTAAAAGAAATATTTTATTTTAATTTTAATAATGTTTTACTTTTTAATTTTTTTTAAAAAAATCACTAAATTCAAAAAAATATAAAATTTAATACATTTCATATATATTATATATTTTTTTTAACAAATATTTTATTTTTTTAGTTGTTTTCAGATTAGACACATCTAAAAAGTAAAAAATAAATAAATTATTAAAAGAAAGAAAAATATCAAATTAAGGTAATTTAAAAAAATAATAATTACAAATTAGTGAGAAGCCATATAAATATTAATCATTAAAATTATAAACTTTTTCATGAATGTGTAATTTTTTTTTTCCCAAAATCCCACTGGGTGCGATTATCTCTTAAAAGAGACTAAATTATAAAATAATGTATAAATTATTTTTTATATTGTCCTCAATTAGGAAAATTTAAGGTGAGAAGCTTGGTTGGAAATTATTAGCTTTTTTAAATAAAAAAAAATCGGATTGAAATTTTTTTAATAAAAGTTTTCACGACATGCTAATGCATGCCTTGTAAAGTTATAATATTTTACGACATGAAATGTATGTCATCTTAAATACAAATATTTTATGACATATTTTTATATGCCGTGAAAATATACATTTTTTACAGCATGCTTTTGCATGCCATAAAAAAATTCTGATTGATTTTTTTTTTTTTTTTTTGGCAGAAGTTTTCATGACATGTTAATGTATGCTGTATAAAGTTATAATATTTTACAACATGAAATGTATGTCGTCTTATGTGCAAATATTTTACGACATATTTTTGTAAGTCGTAAAAACATACATTTTTTACGGCATACTTTTGTACGCTATAAATGTATGAATCAACGACTTACATGATATGTATGCTATTATTGACAAAACATTAACGGCTTGCAAAAAAAAAATGCCGTAGAATGTATTAACTATGACATGCATTTAATGCATGTCGTAAACATGATGCTATAAATAGTTAGTTTGTTGTAGTGTCCTCCTCTGTTTTTGTATTTTGTTCCCTTTTAGTGAAATTCTCGTTTCTGTCTATGGATGTAGATATTGAGCCGAACCACGTAACTATTGGTGTCTTAGTTGTGTGTGATTGTTTATTATTTATTTTTTTAGATGTCCATGATCCTAACAAATTGATGAGAAGACAAACTTTGAGCGAATAGTTTAGCTTTTTTTTTTGGTAGAGAAGACTGGCCGTGGTCAAAAGTGAGAAAGTTTGGGAGAGTGAAAAAACAGGGATAGTAGATCAGATAAACAACCCACGAGAGTGGGAGAAGAATGGAAAGGGCGAGAAGGGAGATCTATGCGAATCAGTTTGACGGCTATGTGAAAAATGTATGATTGATATCAGGAAGAGCATTCACCAAAAGATTATATGTCATCAATTAAAAGATTAAGATTATATATATTTTTTAATTATCAATTAATTATATATTATTGAGTTTAGAAAATAGATTGGTGTATTATTTTTTTTATCAAGAATTGCTATCTTTTATCAATTATAAATATATAATTTCATCACAAATTAATGTAATATAATATTTAAAATTTTATACTCCTTTCGTCTTAAAACAATATTTTTTTGAGGAATGTAATTTTTTTTAGTACAATTATTGTACTTTTAAAAAATTATTTTTCAAAATTACCCTTTGATAGTATTTTTTTGAGAAATATTAATTGTCATAATTGTACTTTTTATGTTGTTAATAAATTCAAAAGAATAGTAAAATAAGAAATTCATATTATTTTAGTCCTTAATTTTTGAAAACGAACTAATATTTTGAAATAATAAAAAATAGAATAAAAGACTAATCTTTTGAGATGAAAAAAGTGATTAATATTACAAAAATTTATGATATGCTCACACACGATACCAACCCAGTACAACGCAGCACAAACTCAGGGGCCATTTGGGAAAAAAAAAAAAAAAGTTAACTTATAGCTTTTAATCTATTTTAAATTATATCACCTCTTACATTTTTTACACGCAAAAAATAAAATAAATAAATAAATTAACTTTTAAACAACTTTTTAAATCACTCCTCAATTCACGATTCCACATGAACATATACGCGCCCCCCCGGGGTGGGGGGAGGGGGGGTTGTGTTTACCCTTGTCAGACAATTCTCTCTGAGAAAATGATCCAGTAGGTTGTACCTACTATGTTGTCATGTGTCCTACTTGGAATTTATTTATTTAATATATATTTTAATTTTTTATAAAAAAATATAATAAAAAAATAAAAAGATGATGTGATCGGTACATTCTCAAACAACCCCTTAGTAATAACAAAATTAATGATAATTTTATTGGTTTTTTATACTAAAATTGCCTAACTATTGAGTAGATTGAGCAAAAAAATATAAAAAAATTACAATCCGATCCGATTTAGATCAAATCACACGATTTGGATTACTTTTTTAATACTTGGTTCGATCCTAATTCTTAAAATAGGCAAATCGTATTTTATGATTCGGTCCGTGATTATATAGTTGTAATTCTAATTCAAAATCGAACCAGGCCGTTTAATTATATATATAATTTGTTATTTATTGTAGATATTTGAGTGCCTTATTAATATCTCCTATATATTCATAAGTTGTTAACCATCTACTCTTGCAAGTATGCTCTTTTATAATTGTAGTTTTATCAAAATAATCATTTAAATAATTATTATTTGTAAAATGATGGCATTTTATTTCATGTTTGAGTATGTTGTGATCATATTGTCAATGATGACAAAATTTATAAAAAAACATAATTTTAAACCGAATCAAACTGAACCATGTTTTTATGGTTTGGTTTGGGCCCAAGATTTATTTCAAAACCAAATCAAACCGAACATTAATTACCCTTATTATTGAGAGGTATCATTTTGACATCTTAAACTATAAAAGCATACAAATAAACTCTTTAAATTATTGAGAAGTACTTTTTTGCTATACAGCGTACAAATGGACCCCCTAAGCTGTTTGCATGTTTCTCAGTTTGATGCATTTTGTGAGGGGATCCAATTTGTACACTTTTGTAGTTTAAGGGATCCATTTGTACGCTTTCATAATTTAAGAGATAAAGTGATACTTCTCAATAGTTTGTGATGTTTACTTGTACGTTTTTATAGTTTAGAGAGTCAAGTTGATACTTTTTAATAGTTTTAGAGAGTCAAGTTAATATTTCGCAATAGTTGAGGGGTTCTCATATAAATAACCCTCATCTTACTTAGGGTTCATTTGGTTAGTATTTTCTTCAAAAAAAAATTAGGATAAGTTACAGTTTGTCCCCTTTATATTTGTTTATTTTTAAAAAAATTTATTTTGACCCTTTGTGTTTTAACTTTTTCCTAATTCATTTCTAAAGCTAATTTTTATTTAAAAATAGACAAAAATGTCATCTTAATTGTCACATAATATAAAAAAAAAAATTATTATATTGAGATTTAAGTTTGTACCAGTGGTGTGAGTTATGTATAATAAAATATTTTTATACCATATGATAAACTTATTTTAGGACCAATTCAATGATTTAAACCGTTTATTTTTTAAAACTTATTGAATAAAATATTCATAAAAATAAAAAAATAAATAAAATAATCAATGAGGGAGCTGGTTTGGATCAATTATGTTACCATGTGGATGATCACATCTATCAACCTAATCTTATTTATGGGAATAGGTCCATTAATTACTAAAACAAATTTACAAGGTTCTAGAGTATTTAGAAAAATATATAGCAACTCCACTATGTACCAAAAAATTTTAAAAAATTCTAGAATATAGTAGAAGGGTAAAAAGATCATTAAATATTTTAGAAGATTAATGATGACTCTTAGATCAAATTGATCCTAACGATCTATTAAGGAGGTAAAGGACTATATAAAGGAAACATATATCTCATTTTAAAAATATAGAAATAAGATAAAAATGTTGTGGTATAGAGCAAGGTTCTAAATATCAGCCGGTACGTTCGTAACGGAAAATGGGAGTGTCGAGTCGGATACTCATCGGTATACCGGTGAGAATGAATTTCGCGTCTGTAGCGGCCGATTCCCGACACGTATCGGCTTGAATCCGATACGTGAGCGATATAGTTCCGATACTGTCCGATTCAGCTGAAAACGAGCAAAGCATCTGCAAAAATAATTGAGCAAAGCAAAATCACCTGGAAAAACAAAAAATAATGAGCAAACCCCTCACCGATTTCAAGCTTCTTCGTTGAAGGTTTTTCTCTCATGCTCTGTTTGTATTTGTTTCATGCTCTGTTTTTTGTTTTGGCTAAAGAAGTAAGTCTGTTTTTGGTTTTGGTTTCATACTCCGTTTCATATACTTACACATATTTGTTTCATGCTCTGTTTTTGGTTTTGCTTGGTGTTCGGTTTGTTTATAATATATATATATATATATATTGCAATTCATTGATGACTTTGGAATTGCTATGCCCAAACAAAGTTTCAGAGATGACAATTGAAGCAAAGCTGTGTAGATCCTTATCAACCTTTATATTTGCTGTCCCACTTTGTTTTTCTATTTCAGTCTCCCATGTGGTGATTAGTTTCTTTGCAGAGTCCAACATTATGTGCACCAAATTCTGAATCATATTTTTCCGATCTAATCATTTATCTAACATTATGATGAGAGGTGGAGGTTAGTATTGTATTAGTACCTAAAAAATAACATATTTGTGAAAAATTAGTAATTTTTTTATAAAAAAATATTCACAAATATTTTACTTTTTAAGTGTATCTAGATAGTGTCTCTAGATAGTATTATTATTGTGTTGAATATTTTTTTTTATTTGATGGGATCCTTGATTTTTTTAAATAACCAAACTATATATAATAAAATATTAATAATACAAATAAAAAAAATTTAAAAGCTTTTGTTTGCTTGATGGGGGATGAGACTAGAGTCACCCTG